ATTAGCACAAGCTAGTCAGGTTCAACTCACACCCACCCATACCCACTCATGTATTTTATCAAACCTATTTTTAAAACAACACAACGTTTTAGCTTCTATGACGGTACTCAGGAGTTTGTTCCACTCATCCACAACTCTATTACCAAACCAGTGCTTTCCTATATCCTTCCTGAATCTGAATTTTTCCAACTTAAAACCATTGCTGCGAGTCCTATCTTGGCTAGATATTTTTAGCACGATATTCCCTTTATTTATTCCTGTCTTCCATTTATACACCTCAGTCATATCCTCCCTAATTCTACACCTCTCTAGAGAGTGCAGATACAAGGCCCTCAGCCTATCCTCATAGGCTGATACATGGGATCAACTTTGTTATTCTCCTTTGTACGTTTTCCAGTGCATTTATATCCATTCTGTAATACAGTGACCAGAACTGAGCAGCATAACTAAATGAGGCGTAACTTAAGATAGAGAGAGTTGAAGAACAACCTGAGGACTCCTATTATTTATGCTTCTTGATATGAAGCCAAGGATTCTGTTCGCTTTATTGTGAACACTTATGCACTGTTGTCTTGGTTTTAGATTACTGCTAACCAGAACTCCTAAATCCTTTTTGCAATCAGTAATATTAAGATCAACATTATTTAGTTTATATATGGCATGGTTATTTTCTTGTCTAATATTTAGAACTTTGCCTTTGTCTATATTAAACTGCATCTGCCACTTCTCCGACCACTGCATCAGTCTATTCAAATCTTTCTGGAGTGCTCTAGTGTCCTCATTAGAGTGAATTATGCGACGTATTTGGTATCATCAGCAAACTTGCCTATATAGGTAAGTTTATTCAGGTATACACAAATACAGTTACATAGATTATCATACATAGCAGCAGTATGTGTAAAGTACCTAGGATAACCCAAAAAAGTCAGAGTGACTTATTTCCATTGGGGTCACTATTTATTCCCTCATCAATGTCGTTTATATAAATTGTGAACAACAAATTAGTGATGCACCCCCACTCTGATTTCTCCTTATTGATGCAAACTCTCTGCTGCCTATCTGTCAACCACGCCTCTACCCAGAAAATTTTTTTCTCCTATACAGTGTGCCTTAATTTTCCTCAACAGCCTCTAATGAAGAACTCTGTCAAAAGCCTTATTGAAGTCCATATACACAATATCATATTTATTACCATGATCTACCTCCTCAAATACCTTGGTGAAAAAAGTTAGTAAATTCGTAAGGCAGGAATGCCCATTTGTAAAACCGTGCTGAGATTCATTAATCAAGATAGGTACGAATTGCCTCAGCAATTATTGATTTCATAAATTTTTCCTCTATGGAGGTAAGGCTTATTGGTCTATAGTTTGAAGCTAAGGACCTGTCACCTTCTTTGTAAACAGGTAAAGTGGAACCTCTTGTCACGAACGCTTCTGAACATGAACAAATCGGTTCATGACCAAAAAATTCACCCAATTTTTGCATCTGGTCATGAACATATAATCGGGTGCTGAACAAACAGCACCTCGCCAAATTTCACATTCCGCAGTATCTTTTTTTGCATCTTATAATTTTCCCCACTTCTTGTAATTATGACTGTGATAAATTCGGATTAGCCATGTTTTTTCAGCAGGTAGTGCCGAAACAGTCTCTCGCACTGCCAGTACCAGGCTAGGGATTGCCATTTGTGATTTTTTTTTTCTCAGTTGTTATTTGGGTTATGTTATTGAAACTTTGGCAATGCATGACGGAAAGATGCTCCTTAACATACACCAAAAATGAAAGAAATCGGACAATAAATAACGGAGTTCACTGCTCAGCCATTAGACACCCCTCAAGGGGTGTACTGTACTTCTGATATAGAGGGTCTGAAGCTTAAGATCCTCAGTTTGCATAATAAGTTACAGGAAAGCACCGAGGATTCATTGGAAATTAAATGAATTTTACATCGTGCATTGCTGGTTATTGAAAGTGTTTTCGGAACATCATAAAAGAGGGGTCGGGGGAGAGGGTAGGTTGAGCCCTGTTCAGTTGACGGTCATTATCCTTGTCGCACCAGGCCAGTATGGTGTTCCGGGAAGATCCGTGTTAGCTGATCATTCCATTACTGATAATTTTATGTGCACGATGCAGGAGAAAAGGAAGAAGGAAGCTTTAATCGCTCTTGACTGGAAAGGTGCATATGATTTTGTAAAGAGAAGAACTATGAGTAGTATTCTCCTTTAGTAAAGTTTTTGGGAAGAAATCGTGGGGTGAGTGGATGCTTGTATTATGGAGTGGTTGCTAAAGTTCAGGTTAACGGTATATTAGAGATACTTGTACCCATGTGTAAAAGTTTAGGCAGGTTTGTCCTTTGTCTCAAATACCTTCGCGTTTGTGCGAGACCAGTTCTATGGGCTGCTTAGGAATAGTTTCTAGTGTGGTGATGAGAGTAGGAGTGTTTTTCCAGAAGTTTTAGGGTATGTAAACGATACTATGTTATTGGTGAATGAACTTGCGAGATTTCAAGCGCTAGAAAGAGTGGAGTAATCGTAGGGAATGTGGTAGCAGAATCATGAAGCAGGTGGAGGGGAGGTCTTTAAAAATTTGTGGGAGTATGTGTACAAGCAAAAGCGAGGTGGCGAGGCAGACAAGCCTTATTCACTTTATTTTCTTACAAAGGGAAATTACTGTTAATATCCTCCTGAATTAGTGGTGATGAGTAGGATACAAGGTAGAGTTTTCCTGTTTTTTGTGGAAATTTAAGAGTGAACGGTTGAGAAGAGAAGCCAGTGAGAAGGGGAGGTTTGAGGGTTTATTTGATTTATGTAAGCGAGTTACGTATTTATGTAAAGAGAGTGTAGTGTTGCATGAGGATGAGGCCCTTCAGGGGAGAAGATCTCAGAGACAGTTTGCGGTTGATAAGGTAGCAGAACCAGACAGAATGAAGATCATGGTTTTATATGTTTTGTCAGGGAATATAAGTACCCCAGTGGAATCATTATACCCTTTACATGACTGGGGTGCATTAGGGGGAGTTTTGTTAGATTGCACACTCCTCCGAGGGAATGGCAATTCATGTATAAGTTTTTGCATGGCATTCTCCCGGCTAGATCGTTGTTGCTGCATCGGAATATTGTTGCTGATGGTACTCGTGGAACCTGTGGGGAAGCTAATACTGAATTCCATGGAGTATAATACTTCTGTGGGTAATATGAGGAGTTGCGAACATAACTGGATTGATTGCTGGCTTTAGTGACAGGAAGTAGGGAGGTGTCAGTGTTTAGGGCTTTGACCTTTGACACAGGAGTATTGTCAGACGTAGCGGTGAGAACAGCAGCCTATATAATTGTTGACTATATTCACAAAATGTGAGTGTTTCGAGAGAGGAAGGTTGATTTGTGTATCAGGTGTCGTATCTTGGCGGAAAAGTTTTATAGGAAAATGAATAGGAACAAGTCTTTGTATGATGGGACAGTTGAGCAGTTTCCCGATTGGTTATTTGAGAATCAATGTTGGGGGTTGTTGGCATTATGACCATAGTGGAGCCCATACATGGGAAGCATGGAGCTCATGTGTGGTGATGGGGTGGCTGTGTCGCCTTGGGCACATGTGCAACATTTGGGTATCTTTATTAAGGAAGCATTTCGCCACATTGTGGCTTCATCAGTCCTATACAAAGAAGAATGGTGAAGACCAGATCAATGTAATCAGTCCAATATGTTTTTATCAGAATCTAGGGAAATATATTTAAGTAAAAGGACACAAATGCAACTTGAGTTTACGTCTCAGTGTTTTTGGGGCTGTTAATATTTTGTTGTGTATTGTGTGGGGAATGCATTCAGTACCTTCATGTATAAGTATTGGCTAACAGTGTTGCGCAAGTGTGGATGAGGATTTCTTGTCAACTTGGTGTAACCATAATCTCTTCACGTGTCTGTGTGTTCAAAATGACCTTTATATGTATATAACATTTTAAATAAAATATAAAAAATGAAAATAATCGTGACTTGTATGAACTAAATAATGTAGATCTCGATCCAGCTGAATGAAAGCTAAACTTTCAGTAGCTTTAAAAATAGGCTGGACAGGTACATGAGTGTGATTAGGTGTGGGCTGAATATGCCTAGCATGGGCCAGTAGGCCTGCTGCAGTGCTTTTCGTTTTCATGTTAAGTTTATCTCGTTAAATTAATGGTATACAGTACCGACAAGTTGATAAATTTGTCACCTGTGCTGTACTTGGCAACTTTATTGTTGAATCGTTTCGACTGCACAGAGGGATTCTTTTTTTTAATTCAGAGGCGACTTTTATAATGGAGACAGTGAAACTGGAGAAGTAATTTTAAGGTAACCACTCTTTCTTATCCTTAAAGAACTGATAGACGGTGTTCAGTCTTATCAATGGCTGAAGGTGTTCGGTTCCTTAGCCTAAAGCAGATGCATGAGGGAGGAGATTTATATACTGGAGCCAGAGGTAGAGGCTCTTACAGAATATAATGACGGAGAAATTATTCATTGTATTATTTCCAAACTTTAATCAAGTAGATCTACAAGGATTTTTTAGTCCTTTCAGAAAGGTAATTTTTGTTTGAGCTCATCTGACTGACTGAAAGGCAGAAGAATAGCATGGACGCCATTCCTTACCAAAGCTTAGGAGGGAGACGATACCCTGAGCGAGGCTTCCAATATAACCTTAATTTACTTATGTTTGTGACTGCTAGGTGAGTATATGTAGCCCTAGTTGTATTTAGCCTGTTCTAGATACATTTTCTACTATGGATTGCTTTGGGGAACCAATCGAAGTCATATCTTTGGTTTTATTTCTTTCTTGATTAAACGTTAATCAGAATATACTGTGAGAGCTTACCTTAATTCCTAGGATAGGAATTAAAGCTTTTGTGATGTTTATGCATACAAAGAAAGTTTGCCTTAATTAATACAGTGCAGTCAAGTGATGCATGGAGAAAAGACAAAGATTTTTCAAAATGTTAATAATTTTGTGCATAATACATGAGATACCTGAGTCTTCCAGAGGTAGACAGTCTTGGTAGCTGGTCTCATGGGGTTGTCGTTGAGATCACCAACAATAATGGTGATGGGATATGTGGCAGACAGGCCCTCAGCGTCACTCAGCACTACCTCAGCCGTCACTTGCTGCTGTTCCTCCCTGTCCAACGGCCCTGTTGTCCACACCTCCGCCCCACCACGACCTTCGTCAGCACCTAAATGCCATAGTATTAAATGCAAGGCTATGGTACACATTTGTATAGTTAAATTGATGTATGTACAACTGTGGCAGCAGTCTGTCTTTCAGCAAATATACTTTTAGAAGTTTATCTTTATGAAAGGTATTACAGAGAAGATTCACAAATCAACATTCAATGCAATTGTATACTTTTGTATCCTGAGGAACTTATCAGAATAGTGTTCGTAATGACTTGAAGATCTGCATTCCACTTCCCGCAGTTAGAGTCAGTTAACAAAAGTTACCCAAATTATTTTGTTGATTAGGTAAACGATATATTATACTCATTTTATCATCGATATATCATGTATTCAAGAAATTGTGGTGCATAATCTGGGCTAGTTATTATAATAAAAAATAAAAAATGAAATCTGGATTAGTATCACGTGGGTTTGATCCTGTGTCCAGCAGGAAAAATAATGCGCATCATTTGCCAACTATTTTCTGAAGAATTTGGAGTCATTCGTGGAGGTTGTAGTCAGTCTTGGAGGCTGGAGTCAGCCCTGGAGGCTGGAGTCAGTCTTGGAGGCTGGAGTCAGTCCTAGAGGCTGGAGTCAGCCTTGGAGGCTGGAGTCAGTCCTAGAGGCTGGAGTCAGCCCTGGAGGCTGGAGTCAGTCCTAGAGGCTGGAGTCAGTCCTAGAGGCTGGAGTCAGTCCTAGAGGCTGGAGTCAGTCCTAGAGGCTGGAGTCAGTCCTAGAGGCTGGAGTCAGTCCTAGAGGCTGGAGTCAGTCCTAGAGGCTGGAGTCAGTCCTAGAGGCTGGAGTCAGTCCTAGAGGCTGGAGTCAGTCCTAGAGGCTGGAGTCAGTCCTAGAGGCTGGAGTCAGTCCTAGAGGCTGGAGTCAGTCCTAGAGGCTGGAGTCAGTCCTAGAGGCTGGAGTCAGTCCTAGAGGCTGGAGTCAGTCCTAGAGGCTGGAGTCAGTCCTAGAGGCTGGAGTCAGTCCTAGAGGCTGGAGTCAGTCCTAGAGGCTGGAGTCAGTCCTAGAGGCTGGAGTCAGTCCTAGAGGCTGGCGATCTTGCTTCTTAGAACTCTTTCAAATATTTTTATGGTGTGGGACATGTCTTATTCATCTGGTTGTTCTCTTTGTATACCGTTTACATAATTATGCTTGTTTGACACAGCAACACAAGTGTATCTTGGTACGGAAGACATCTTCCACAACTTAGTCTTACCACTAGTTACGAGTGAGAAATGTTGGATTTTAGAGGGACCTACTTAGCATGGGCCAGTTGGCTTCCTGTAGTGTCTCTCAATTCTTATATTTTTGTTTATACTAATAGACCCCCGCCTCTCTTGTCGTCTCCAGGAGTTTCTGTGTCTCACTTCTGGCAGTATTTAAGTATCCATTCTCATACTTCAGCTTCACACTGCTCCAGATTATGGAGTTGAACTCTTCTTTAGTCTGAAGGATTGACCACCTCAAAACTGCGTCTTCGAGGGTGGTGCATTGTTTACATTATCTTTACATCTACTCCTCTGTTTTGTTTTTTTTCTTTATTCGGCTGAAGAGAATCATTTCATCAATAAAGATACTAAATTGTTTCACATAAGTCTATACAGTCTACTAGTGGGATGGAGGACAGCGCTTAAAACTCTGTCTAGAGTGATAGTAGTGATTGGCACTAACTTCTCCCCTGAAAAGTGCATCTTGGGTGAGGCAGTACTTATCACCCTCTGTTGTATAGTTGGTAGTGCGATTTCTTTTTGGATCACTTGTGGGTTCTCTAATACAAATTATGAGAACCTATAACCTCGAGTAAGTAAATACAGTTTTCTCGAGAACATTATATACATAAACAATTGCAATATATGGAAAGTTAATTTAATTTGTTGAGCTCTAGGACTGACTCCAGCCTCTTGGACTGACTCCAGCCTCTTGGACTGACTCAAGCCTCTTGGACTGACTCAAGCCTCTTGGACTGACTCAAGCCTCTTGGACTGACTCAAGCCTCTTGGACTGACTCAAGCCTCTTGGACTGACTCAAGCCTCTAGGACTGACTCCAGCCTCTAGGACTGACTACAACCTCTAGGACTGACACCAGCCTCTAGAACCGACTACAACCTCTAGGACTGACATCAGCATGTAGGACTGACACCAGCCTCTAGAACCGACTACAACCTCTAGGACTGACACCAGCCTCTAGAACCGACTACAACCTCTAGGACTGACATCAGCCTCTAGAACCGACTACAACCTCTAGGACTGACACCAGCATCTATGACCGACTCACCTTAGACTAACTCAAGATTACTTTGTCTTGTCGGCTTCAAAATTTCAACGTTTATGTACGACAATTTGTGTCCGACTCTTCTAACAACGTGACCTACAACCAAACTTCATGAACCGATTTCCAGGATCCTGGAATGGATCCATGACTTTCAAAATCCTCTTTGGCGTCGCTTCAAACATTTGAAAAATGTGCCTCCGAAATCGACGACGCTGGAGAGCGAAATTCGAATATTTTAGCGAAGATTAACTGACTTTATGCGTAAAATAGCGTGAATTTTTTATTTCCGTTAAATCATATAAAAAATTTAAGGTTACGTATTGTGTATGGCTTCAATATATAAACGCTTAAGCGTCTTATAGGCAGGATAACACTCATTATGCTTTGTTTGTGTTTGAACAATTTTGTAAATATAGTAAATTTTGGAATCCGTGCCATAAATGAAAATAACTCATCTGATCACAAATGGTATGGTTTCCTGAACGTCAGGTTCATGTTTTTAATGGGTAAAATAATTCCCAATTTGCCTATTTTATTGAATAGGGATATTCATTTATATTCACTAACTGAAGAATGCTTCTTCTGATTTCAGTTTAGGTCATTTTGCTCAGAATGTTACTGGTTCTCCTTGGTGTCCCACTTTTGCTCACAATGTTACTGGTTCTCCTTGGTGTCCCACTTTTGCTCACAATGTTACTGGTTCTCCTTGGTGTCCCACTTTTGCTCACAATGTTGCTGGTTCTCCTTGGTGTCCCACTTTTGCACTGCTGGTCTTCTTTAGAAGTATTTATGCATTAATTTTAGCTGTTTGGACGCCAAACTTAATTTTCTTAAAAAATAAAAAACAAATGTTCTTTCTTACAAGATTACAGAGAATTTTAAGTAGAATATGAACGCAAAAAAAAAAAAAACTGAAAATAAAATAAAAATTCGCGCTCATTGAAAGTTCTTAATTTTAATGATGATAGATTTTCCAATATTCGGAAAATTCTCTACAACATTTTTCGTTTTCTTACTCTAAAATTTTTGTTAATATCTCGAGAACGCTTTATTCGATCGACTTCAAATTTTCAATGGTGGTGCACTGTATCCAGTGCAAGACTGACAGAACTCTCAGCATGCGAGGATGATCTATGGATAATATTAAGTTGGCTATTCCCAGATTTTTTCCTTGTTAGAAATGGAGAAAACCTTCTCTGAGATTCAGGAGATGGTTGGTATTTTTAAAAGGAAATGTAGGTGCCATTTTACTACTTACAGTATTGAAATAATATTTTAAATTATTGAACATTATAGCTTATCTTACTTTTCATGCTTTTGACGGGCTCTTGATGCAAGGAACTGGATTTATCCTTCCATTGCTTGGATCCAATCTGAATACATCACATTTAAACACACATTGAATGGCCACTTCTGGTTTAATGTTTTCCAGTGATTGATAAACAACAATTGTTACCAGCATTTATCTTTAATGGCTGATTCATCCTACGAAATTCATGAAAATTTATTGGCTTTAGGCATTTCATTCATTCATGTTGATTCGCCGGTACTTCCGGCCCGGGTCTTCTCCAGATGGTGACCCGGCAAGGCTTTAAGCAGTGTAGGGGCAAATTTTGTTGGATTCTGTGTAGTACCTGCAGAATGTCTCGTGTATTTTAGGATATCGGTGCCATAGCCTTCAAAAAAAGTATTCCACTTCAGTTTGGCTTCCAAGCTGGTGTTTCTTAATGGAGAGCTTCATTAATTTGTGGATCGCATATGTCCTAAGTTGCCATTTTTATTAAAGAAATTGAGGTATTAATGCACATTTGATTACCGGAGAAAGTCAGATCTGATTTACTTCATTACAGCTACTGTAATTAGCTGCAAAAATAAAACTTGTATCGCACTTTGCGAAATTCAGGGAATCTTCAAATTGTATATGTTGGATCTATACAATTTGAAGATTCCCTGAATTTCGCTGCATTGGAAAACACTTATTTATTTTTTTTAATTAAATATGATTTGTAATATTAAATAATGATGAGGTATCAACATTTTTTTTCATTCATGATATAATCCCCAAAGTATATGATGAAAAAACGTATTAAGAACATAAGAAAGAAGGAACACTGCAACAGGCTTACTGGCCAATGCGAGGCAGTTTCAAGTCTCCTACCGACTTAAGCCAATGCCCCAACCCAGTCAGGTCAGGTCACATTCACTTAAGGAAGGAGCATGTGACCTAGTAGCACAAGCTAGTCAGGTCCAACTCACACCCACCCGCATCCAGTCATGTATTTATCTTACCTATTTTTAAAACTACACAATGTTTTAGCCTCTATAACTGTGCTGGGGAGTTTGTTCCACTCATCCACAACTCTATTACCAAACCAGTGCTTCCCTATATCCTTCCTGAATCTGATTTTTTCCAAATTAAAGCCATTGCTGCGAGTCCTGTCTATGCTAGATATTTTTAGCACGCTCTTTACATCCTCTTTATTTATTCCTGTTTTCAATTTATACACCTCAATCATATCTCACCTAATTCTACTCCTTTCTAGACATTGCAGATTCAGGGCCCTCAGTCCATCCTCACAGGGAAGGTTTCTGATACATGGGATCAACTTTGTCATCCTCCTTTGTACGTTTTCCAGAGCATTTATATCCATTCTGTAATACGGTGACCAGAACTGAACAGCATAATCTAAATGAGGCCTAACCAAGGATATATAGAGTTGAAGAACAACCTGAGGACTTCTATTATTTATGCTTCTTGATATGAAGCCAAAAATTCTGTTAGCTTTGTTAGCTTTATTGCGAACACTAATGCAATGTTGTCTTGGTTTTAGATTACTGCTAACCAGAACTCCTAAATCCTTTTCACAATCAGTAATATTAAGATCAATATTATTTAGTTTATATGTGGCATGGTTGTTTTCTGTCCAACGTTTAGAATTTTGCATTTGTCTATATTAAACTGCATCTGCCACTTCTCCAACCACTGCATCAGTCTATTCAAATCTTCCTGGAGTGCTCTGATGACCTAGTCAAAATGAATTCGACGGCTTATTTTGGTGTCATCGGCAAACTTGCTTTTGTCTCTATTTATTCCCTCATCTATGTTGTTTATGTAGATTGTGAACAACAAGGGGCCCAATACTGACCCCTGTGGAACACGCTCGTGATGCTTCCCCGCTCTGACTTTCCCCATTTATGCACACTCTCTGCTGCCTATTTGTCAACCATGCCTCTGTCCAGGAAAAAATTTCTATTCCGTGTATCTTAATTTTCCTCAATAGTCTTTGATGTGGGACTCTATCAAAAGCCTTACTGATGTCCATATACACAATATCATATTCATTACCATGATCTACCTCCTCAAATACCTCAGTGAAAAGAGTTAATAAATTTTTAAGGCAGGAACGCCCTTTTGTAAAACCATGCTGAGATTCGTTGAATAATTTATGCTTTTCAAGATGGCTATGAATTGCCTCGGCAATTATTGATTCCATAAATTTTCCCACTATGGAGGCTAGGCTTATTGGTCTAGTTCGGAGCTAAGGACCTGTCACCTGCTTTGAAAACAGGTATCACATTTGCCATTATCCACTTATCTGGCACCATGCCAGTTTATAGTGATATGTTGAAAAGATTAGCCAAAGGTTTGCTAAGCTCATCTTTACATTCCTTTAGACCCCTTGCATACAGTTCATAGTTTACTATCGTCCTGTTCTACATAATTTATTATTTCTTGAATATTGCTAGTATCGTCCTGTGTAAAAACTGAGAGGAAGTATGTTGTAAAAATTCTACGCATTTCCTTATCACTGTCCGTGAGCTGACCCAAGTAACATTTGAGTGGGCTTATCTTGTTCCTAATCTTACGTCTGTATACCTAAAAGAATCCTGTTGGGTTAGTCTTTGATTCTCTTGCAACTTTAACCTCATCTCTTTTTGCTTTTCTTATTCCCTTTTTAATTTCTCTCTTTAACTGAATATATTAATTTCTTAACTGCCCCTCTCCTCTTTTGATTTGCCATATATGCCTCTCTTTTGATCAGTGAGATGTTTTAATCTATTGTTCATGCATTTAGGATTATTTTTGTTCGATCTGATTTCCCTATTTGGAACATAAGTTGTCTGCGGAGCTAGAACTATGCTCTGGAAAACGTCATATCGCCAACTATCACAACCTACCTGACCCATTGTCATGTCATTCTTGTTCAGCCCACTCAGGTAATTTTTCAGTCCTATGAAATTAGCGAAGTAGAAGCCAGGGACAGAGACTTGATTGCCATTATTAGGGTAATACCATGATATATTTAAACTGAGTGATTTGTGATCACTTTCCCCAAGCTCATCATTAACCTCAAAATTATTTATTAGCAATTCCCTGCTGGCAAGAACCAAGTCAAGCAAGTTATTTCCTCTAGTTGGTTCTGTCACAAACTGTTTTAAAAAAACAATCCTGAATCATATCAAGAAAGTCACCTGACTTTAAATTTCCTGTCAAATTGCTCCAGTCTCTAAAGTTGAAATCTCCCATTAGCACAACATTTTCGTTTGTCGTTGCCTTGCGAATTTCATCCCATAGAAGTTTACTGTAACCCCTATCAAGATTTGTGGGCCTGTAAATCACACGCAAGATTAGTTTTTCATTGCCCTCTAAAGGTTGTAACCAAACAGATTCAGAGGTTGACGCTTTTAATTTTATATCTTGTCTAGCACAACAATTTAAATTGTCTCTGACATACATTGCTACTCCACCACCCTTCCTGTTGACCCTATGAGTGTCAAATAATTTATAGCCCTGTATGTGACATTCAGAAGGCATCTTTCAGATTGAGCCAGGTCTCTCTTATAGCAATAATATCTATGTATCCTGCACTTGCAATTAATGTAAGCTCATCTATCTTATTTCTTACACTCCTGCTATTAGTATAGTAAACCTTATGGGGGCTAGTCTCTTGCTGCCCTCTGCTGTCTCCCTTTGTTTGCTGACCTGATCCATTGTCTTTATTTATAACTTAATGATGACTGTCATTTATACATTTGCTGTTTTCAGCCCTAGTGTTCAAGCTGACTGTTTCCCCCCACACACCCATACCTCCATCTTCTATCAGTTTAAAATCCTAGACATGTCAGCGATGGCCCTCTCGATCGAGTTGGCAAGTGCTACCACCCCTGCCCCAGAGAAATGTACCCCATCCCTTGCATACATATCATGTTTGCCATAAAAGTTGTCCCAGTTGTCAATGAATGGGATTGCAAGTTCCTTGCAATCCCATTCATTGACAACTGGACCATTCATTTCCCACTTCCCTTCTAGGCAAGATGCTACATATGATTGGGACCCCTCCCTTAGACTTAATTAAATCTATAGCTGACTTGTACTCATCTAGCAGCTCTTCTCTCCTACCCTTCCCAATATCATTTTCACCAGCACTGAGATAATGGGCTTGTTCCCATTACCTGACATGATATTATCCAACCTGTTGACTATGCCACCAACACCAGCTCCAGGGAAGCACACCCTCTCTCTTTTACAGAAAGCACGATCCATATATCTTACCTGTGAGTCATCAACCACAAGAATTCGCTTACGTCTATTAGCAGGGGAAGTAGTACTTTTACCTTCACTGGCCACTGAAGTACACTCATCCTGAAGAACAGAGAAGCGATTTCCTACCTTCAAATCTTCTTTCTTAACTTTCCTTATTTTGATGTTTCTCCCATTACTGGGAGCCGCTTGCTACTTGTAGCAGGTATGGGACTGCATCTCACTGCTGGTAGCCTTTCCGTCCTTCTCCCCTTCAGCCTCCTCATAGCAAGTGACAGACTGCACCTCACTGCTGGTAGCCTCATTCCCCTCAAATACTCCAGCCACTTCACACTTACTCCCAAACCCATCGAGGTAAACCTTCAGCCTCCCAATTTCCTCCTGGAGAAGCAGGACCTCCTCTTTCAACGCTCCAACCTCAAATTTTAAAACACTGCAGAAGTAAGCCATGCTTTGTAACTCTACACTAATCCCTCAGCTCATAAGATCCATTTTGAGGCATTTTATGGAGATTTTTGCTTCAGGTTGAAATGTGAAAAATGTAAGTAAGAAATAGAGGACACGTTTGGTATTGGGTGAGGAAATATGGAATTAAACGTGAAAAAGTACAAAAGATATAATTACCGAAAATTATGATGGTTTAAAATAAATCAGTAAGATAATGGAAATAAAACGACAATTTAAAATTATGACGTTATATTATAAATATGTGGGGGGGGGTTGTTACTAAGGTAAGGTGTACACCTTACCTTAGTGCCACTCCACCCCCCCCACTGTACGTAGGTGCAAGAACAGTGAAGGATTGAGTAGGGTGAGTACAGGTGACTGAGCAGTGTAGAGCCAGCGTGGGGTCGGGCAGCACCTCTCAGCACCAATGAAAATATTCCTCTCAAAAAAAAAAGAAAGAAAAAACTGAAATTTCAATAGAGAAGAGTTATCCGGAGTTGTAAATGGAAATTAAATATCTCAGATGAAAATATTAAACGTAAAATTTAAAAAAAAAAAAAAATAAATAAATAAATAGGGAAGAGATTTATACCTGATCGACTGTCCATCAAGCGTGTCCCTGAAACACGAATTTTTCCGTATCACGAACGCAACTAGCAGACCTACAGCATTAGCGAATTTTCTGTCCAAGCTATTAACAAAATCGATGTTACTTACCAGCATCGTACTTGAGAGTAAGAATTGTAAGAACATAGACAGGGTTGGAGGGCGCCAGGCTGAATGAAAAGGGGGGGCCGTGTCCCAACTCCCACAGGTCATCGTCAGTAGCTGTCAAGAGGCCCACGCGGGAGGCAGGAGCACCCTCCATCACCTGAAGTTGGGTAGGAGGCAGGAGACGCGGCGAGCAGTCGTTTACATCTGTGACAGTGAGGGTGAGGGTAGCGGTGGCAGAGAGCGGAGGGATGCCCTCATCCATGGCAACCACCCGTGCCATGCCCACGTCCCCACCGGGAGCTTCTCGGTCCAGGGCGCGCCACAGCCGCACGCCTCCCACACCATCAACAGTGAGGGCACCCCACGCCCCCAACACACGGTAATCCACACCTTGCTTACCCTCCTGCAGATAACGGACATGATATGTATTAGAAGAGAGCAAGTTACACCTATACCACATTAATAACTTACCAGTTAATGAAATCAAGCAAGAATGTATATTATGAAAATATGTGATCCAACTGACGATAACAAAATTCCCTGTTCAACACAGTAGTCATGGACAATGACAGAGAGGTTCAACATAGAAGTCATGGACAATGACAGGGAGGTTCAACATAGAAGTCATGGACAATGACAGGGAGGTTCAACATAGAAGTCATTGTAGACAGCCTGTACTGTCTGCACAGACAGCCCATGCTGTCTGCCAGCTTAGTTCATATTTCGCGTCATGCTGGTGCTGCCACCTATAGGCCTTGCCACTTCAGTATGCCCAGACTTGCCTCACCCTCACTCACACAGCGGCCTAGCAGGAAGACACAAGTACTCCCAGCTCTCTCGTGGGATGGCCCTGCCCGGCCATGGGCACAAACACACAAGCCTGTGTAACCCACCTACGACTTAACAATAAAGTAAGAAGCCTCCGAAGAAGACGTATCATTTAACCACCCGCTACCAGAACACCAAAATAACCTCGTTATAATGGTACCAGTGGTGGTCGCAGCGTTGTGTTTACCCCGAGAGGAAGGAAGAGGGATGAAGTCATCTTCACTTCATCATCCCATGCAAGAAGCATCCGTCTCTCAATAAGTTATCCTGATGTCGTGTCTGCACGTTTGAGCATCCAGACACAGGTACAAGCAGGATCCAGGCCGAAATTTGCCGAAATTCTCCGAGAATTGTAAGTGGCATCACAGTGACTCCACGCTACAGCGTCCCACGCTACAGTGTCCCACGCTGTTTCTCAAGTCACAAGTCACGTGTTCAGCGTCACTTGTATGTTGCTGTTGTTGTTGTTCAGCTCAGCACAGTCGTTTCAGCAAGCCAGAGGTGAGTTTTGTGGTGATTTCTGCGTCCAGTGTGAGTTCTCTATGTATTTGTGGGTGGGGGAGGAGAGGAGAGGTAGTGGCTGTCCCTCACCTTGCCCATGCTCGCCCTACTCACGCTCACCCGTCTACCATACACCACTCACCACTGCCCACTCCCTCTGCTGTGTTTTCTGCTGTTTTCCATGTGAATTCATTGCCAAAGCTGTGTATCCGAGTGCCCGAGGCCACTCGAAGCTACGTGGATCGCGACGCCACGTGGGTGTGGGCGATGTCATGTAGACCTATGAGCTACGTGAGTTACCAGATGTCCCAAGGCCACATGCTGTGGTCTGCTGCCTGCATCACATTGACATCACCCACGATGCTGCCCGACTTCATGACGTCACGATGTCTGCCTGACGTCACCTCGAGATGTCTGCTGACGTCACCTCGAGATGTCTGCTGACGTCATCACGCCTGACATCACATGATGTCACATCGAGTGTCTCTAGTAATTATTTTAATATTGTCGAGAAGATTGAGAGAAAATATATGTCGTGTGTTAATTAATTCCTCTCAGTCAGTGTTCTCACATGTTAGTGTACCGTATGTACCGCGGTGTGTTTAAAGTTCCATGTGTCTAGTGAGGTCTGAGCCAGACCTGAGTAGCACCACTGTGCTAAGTCACCCGTGTGACCAGTACGTTTGACAGCTGATGTCAAGACAGCTCCGAGTGACCGAGCCCTCTTGTACAAAAAGTTCTTATGCTCGTCGCTCATGATGTTCTGCAGAATCGTACCTGCTACAATTCCCATCGAGATTTGTTTCACTTCACCTCGAGACCTTCAGAGTGCAGTTATATGTAGAGAAACAAGTCTGGGGATGCTTAGACTAACCTCTGCTATAACTCCAACTGTGGAGAGATGATACTCGCCAAGCCGCAGTTAGGCCTGTCGGCAGGCTCTGTGTCAGCCTCATGTCACAAGCTTCAGTGAGCAGCCTGCACAAAGAAGATGTCACTTTGACTGCTAGCTCTCTCACTGCAGTCTGGTGTATGATGTTACGACTCCCAGATGTTTCGCCCAGTCATCTCTGCCACGACTCGCTCCATGCTCGCCGGCAGTGACAGCCCAGCGACAGTACCAGTCAAGAAGTGTCCTCCTGAGTCGCTTGCCAGAAGTCCTGCCCAGTTGCCGAGTTTTGTCGACGCCTCACTCGAGGGCACCAGCATGTTGTGCCCCAGGTTGAGTGAAACCTGCAGCGACTCCTACGATGACTGCTTCACCGTTCCAGAGGAGACCGTAACCTGTTACGTCACAGCTCAGCCGCAGCGATGTCCGATGTCTCCCGTGTTGCAGTATCTGTCCAGACGCAGGAAGGCGTGCAGTGATGCCCATCGACGCTCACTGCCTTTGACCACGATGTTTAGCACACCCCACATGTTTTTTTCTTCCCTCCCTGTAGGAAGTTTTTTTCCATGTTCATATGTATATATATGTTTTTATTTTGTGTTCTGTGCCCTGTTCCTATGAGAGAGAGACCGGGTTTCTTTTACCACCAGTATTGTCGCGTCGGGACGATGCGCGGTAGGTGGCCGAGCATATGTAGACAGCCTGTACTGTCTGCACAGACAGCCCATGCTGTCTGCAGCTTAGTTCATATTTTGTGTCATGCTGGTGCTGCAACCTATAGGCCTTGCTACTTCAGTATGCCCAGACTTGCCTCACCCTCACTCACACAGCAGCCTAGCAGGAAGACACAAGTACTAGTAGCTCTCTCTCGTGGGATGGCCCTGCCCGGGCCATGGGCGCAAACACATAAGCCTGTGTACCCACCACGACATTATCAATAAAGTACGAAGCCTCCGAAGACGTATCATTAACCACCCGCTTGCAGCACCTACCAAACAAACCCGTTATATCATGGACAATGACAGAGAGGTTCAACATAGAAGTCATGGACAATGACAGGGAGGTTCAACATAGAAGTCATGGACAATGACAGGGAGGTTCAACAAAGAAGTCATGGACAATGACAGGGAGGTTCAACATAGAAGTCATGGACAATGACAGGGAGGTTCAACAAAGAAGTCATGGACAATGACAGGGAGGTTCAACATAGAAGTCATGGACAACGACAGGGAGGTTCAACATAGAAGTCATGGACAATGACAGGGAGATTCAACATAGAAGTCATGGACAATAACAGGGAGGTTCAACACAGTAGTCATGGACAATAACAGGGAGGTTCAACACAGTAGTCATGGACAATAACAGGGAGGTTCAACACAGTAGTCATGGACAATAACAGGGAGGTTCAACACAGTAGTCATGGACAATAACAGGGAGGTTGAACATAGAAGTCATGGACAATGACAGGGAGGTTCAACATAGAAGTCATGGACAATAACAGGGAGGTTCAACACCATCAAGATGTTCAGTCACATGGACACAAGGTCTGAGGATCTCCTTCACTTATATTATAAAAAGGGTTTTAGCACGTTTTGAACCTTACTGACTGCACTTTTTCATGCAGTTTAAACTACTTTATTGGTTTTATTATTGAAAAGACTAATTTTATTATCATTAGCCTTTGTTGGGTTAAGGGGGGGAAAAGGTATATAAATTTTTCTCCAAATTTCTATGTTATCATTGACAATTTAAAGAAAAATGTTGGCACTCCGCTCACACATGGGGGCCCAAAGTTGACCCCCGGGTTTCGTGTGCAAATATTGGGACTGTTTCCTTGAGCCCCCTGCTGCCCCTGGTACATCATAAAAACAGGTGCCTGGCGTTAGTCGACTGGTGGGGTCACATTTGGGGAAGGGGGGCAAACTGCCCAAATTTGCCCTAAAGCTCTCTTAAAAAAGGGCTTTTAAGTACTATCCCTTTGATGTCACCTAGCCTGTATACCTTGTACATGTACTTGCAAAAATAAAGATTATAATAATAATAATAATAATAATAATAATAATAATAATATTATTATTATTATATTTCTCTCGACCATAGACCTGATAGGTATAACTTTCTCAGCCTTTTCAAAATCAATTGGATGATTAAAATCTTTCACATGAATAAACAGAGCATTAGAATCTTGTCCACTTCTAATGCTGAATTCATAATTTTTTTTTTTACAGAAAACCAAAAAATAATTGTTACCATGTCCATTATTATTCTTCACATCAAGATAAAGTTAAACTTTCTGTATTCTCATCAGTGTTTTTGAGAGCTCTGCTTACTTCCGGCCCACCAGCACCATCATATAACTCAATTACAGGTTTCCGTTTTACACTCACTTGGCAGGAGAGTTGGAGGGAGGGGGTAAAGGAGGTTTTGTGTGCGAGGGGCTTGGACTTCCAGCAGGCATGCGTGAGCGTGTTTGATAGGAGTGAATGGAGACAAATGGTTTTTAATACTTGACGTGCTGTTGGAGTGTGAGCAAAGTAACATTTATGAAGGGGTTCAGGGAAACCGGCAGGCCGGACTTGAGTCCTGGAGATGGGAAGTACAGTGCCTGCACCCTGAAGGAGGGGTGTTAATGTTGCAGTTTAAAAACTGTAGTGTAAAGCACCCTTCTGGCAAGACAGTGATGGAGCGAATGATGGTGAAAGTTTTTCTTTTTCGGGCCACCCTGCTTAGGTGGGAATCGGCCAGTGTGATAATAAATAAATAATATATATATATATATATATATATATATATATATATATATATATATATATATATATATTTCTTTGTTTCAACGCACCGGCCGTATCCCACAGAGGCAGGGTGGTCCAAAAAGAAAAACAAAAGCTTCTCTTTTTAAATTTAGTAATTTATAAAGGAGAAGGGGTTACTAGGCCCTTGCTCCCGGCATTTTAGTCGCCTCTTACAACACGCATGACTTACGGAGGAAGAATTCTGTTCCACCTTCCCATGGAGGTAAGAGGAAATGAACAACAACAAGAACTAGAAAGAAAATAGAAGAAAACCCAGAGAGGTGTGTATATATATGCTTGTATATGTATGTGTAGTGTGACCTAAGTGTAAGTAGAAGTAGCAAGATGTACCTGAAACCTTGCATGTTTATGAGACAGAAAAAAAGACAACAACAATCCTACCATTATGTAAAACAATTATAGGCTTTCATTTTACACTCACTTGGCAGGACGGAAGTACCTCCCTGGGCGGTTGCTGTCTACCAACCTACTACCTACCTATTATATATATATATATATATATATATATATATATATATATATATATATAGATATATGTCGTGCCGAATATGTAAAACTGGTCAATTAGCAAGAACTCATTTAAAATTAAGTCCTTTCTAAAATTTTCTCTTATACGTTTAAAGATATATTTTTTCATTAATGTTAATGTAAAAATTTTTAATTTTGCACCAAAAGAATCTTAGAAAACTTACCTAACCTTATTATAACAAGAACAATTTATTTTAGCCTAACCCAACTAAATATATTTTAGATTTGTTTATAATAATTTAACACTAAACAAACACAGTGAAATATATTTTTTTCGATAGGTTCAGAATGATTTTGGCGAAATTATTGCATACACAAATTTTCACTTGTCCTATATGGCAAGATGAGCGTTGCTATTTAAGCCAAGATCGCAAGTTCTGCCTATTCGGCACCACATGTGTATATATATATATATATATATATATATATATATATATATATATATATATATATATAATATATATATATATATATATATATATATATATATATAACACACTGATCTTTGGCCAAAGGAGACTCGAAGGTACGCAGTGCTTTACCATTCTCACGACGCTGGACCAATACCTTGGCGTCCTGCTGAAAGCTGGCTGACTTGGATCAACGTCTAGCGTAAGCTGGACGCCAAGGTATTGGTCCAGTGTGGTGAGAATGGTAAAGCACAGAGTACCTAGTTCCAAGGTTCGTAGGTTCGAGTCTCCTTCGGCCAGAGATCACTGTTTGTGTATATTTTGCCTGCTCTTGCGAATTCCTTGTATGTATATAATATATATATATATATATATATTTTATATATATATATATATATATATATATATATATATATATATATTTCTTAATTCGCAAACAGGCGAAATTATTTACATTGT